GTCATAAATGTATTCATTTCTCACTTCCCTGTAACCTGTGTTTTTTTCATTGAACAACGTAAATGTTTGTCATTAGTAGATTAGCAGATTTGCTTGAACGTATTTACGGATTTCCAATGATGCCATTTTGTACAGATTGTTTACATTCTGTTTCAACTACTGGACATTTGAACTGTGTTTGGTGGTTCTAAAAATAGTTTCCATGAGCGTTTAGCTAAGATTCTTAGTTTCTATTGATACCAAACATGTCCAGGTTCAGCTGACAGATCTTAAGTTAACAGAAGTTAAAAGAAATAGAAAACAGGAAAAGCTGTTTGCTCAAGAGGTTACAAACAGAACTTGTAACTTTAAATTCAAACACGTTTTATTAATCCCAAAGGAAAATTAAATATTGTTATAATTCCTATTATCCTGGTTTCTTCAAAGAGTTGTTATAGATGCTGATGGCTGTGGGCAGGAAGGATCTCCTAGTGGTCTGTCTTACAGCAGATTTGACAAAGTCTCTGACTGAAGACAAAGTTGGAGCATAAGGTCAGATGAAGAGGGTGCTCAAGGTTATCTCAATTTTATTAGGAATCCTTTTTTTTACAGCAATCTCCAGAGGTTCTAGAGGAGTCCCAAGAACTGAGCTGTCTTTATTAGCTTGTTAAGCTTTCAAAAGGTTGCTGCTGCTACCCCAACATGGCAGCAGAGATAGAACTCCATACAACAGGCTTATAAAAGATCTGCAGAAACCTCCTGCAAAAAACTGTCTCTGGGTGAGAGTGTTAGTGGTTATCCATCCCAGTTTTTATGTTTTGGCCCTAAGACCTGTTCAGCATGGACCACACCTCTCGCCGTGACTGCTGAAGACGCTAATCAGAAGTCCATCACATATAAAAACAAAAAAAAAAAAAAAAAAAAAAAAAAAAAAAAAAAACATTCACACTCTCACCCACACATGGGAACTGTTCAAAGATACTAGTTAACCTAACATGCATGTTTTTAGTCTGTGGGAGGAAAGAAACCAATGGGTTCAAGGAGATCAAATGCAAACTCCACCTATAAAGGCTGGGAAGCGGTCTCACAAACTTTCTGCTAGAAGGCAACAACAACTGCACTGCTGTGCTGCAATGTATAGTATAATTAAAAATTTCACTGTAAATATTTGGGTTAATAACACATAAAATTCTATGTGAAGATTTAAGAAAGCTATCGATTTTAGTTTTAGATAGTTTGAATAATATTTGGTTCACTGTATTTTTCTGCAGCCCCACTGCCAACACCACTTACTGGACTGAAGACCAGAATGAAACAAATGACAAGAGCTGTTTAATTCATGACGACGACTGGACCTTCACTTTCATTCCAGTGTACATCTGCTAATCTCTGTGCTGGGGATTGTCCTGAATGYCTTTGTCCTGATGGTTTTCTGCCTYCACAAGAAAGCCTGCACCACACCTGAGATCTACCTGAGCAACATGGCTGCTGCTGACCTGGTTCTGGTTTCCTTTTTGCCCTTTTGGGCTGTTTTTGTGTCCAATCATTTTCATTGGACTTTTGGTGACGCCATGTGCAAAATTATCAATATGATTATTATAATGAATTCATTTTGCAGCATCTACTTCCTGGTTYTGGTCAGCATTGATCGTTATTTGGCTCTGGTGCACCCTCTGTCCTTTRAAAGAATACGTACACCATTTTTTGCTAAACTGGGTTGTTTGCTGGTGTGGATTCTGGGCTTCAGCTTTAGTTCTCCAGCCCTTATCTACTGGAAACAGGAACATTATCTTAATCAAACCCTTTGCTACTTCAATAATAAAGACCCCACTAAAGAAACTATATATCGCTCTCTAAACTTTGTATTTGCTTTCACCATTCCTGTTGTCATTATTTTCTTCTGCACTATAAAAATTGTTAAGGTGTTGAGAAGCAGGCCAGTGGAAGGAGTAAATTCAAAGAAAACAGACCAAAAAGCAGCTTCTTTGGTTTTGGCAGTCATGCTGGCATTTTTGATCTGTTGGGGTCCATACTATCTGGTTAGGATAGTAAAAATGTTCCTTGAATTCAAAATTCTAACTGAGTGTAAAGTACAAAGAACTTTCTACATCTGTGTGCAGACCTTCAGCTACTTAGCCTACTTCAACAGCGTTCTCAACCCCATTCTCTACATCATTATAGGAAAAAAAAACTTTCAAAGTAAAGTTAAAGAAACTCTTAAGACAATGCAACTGCGAAAGATCCCAGTGTCTAATTGAAGCCTGCATGAGCACAAATCTACAAATATGAGGTAAAACTCCAGATACCACCACCAGAACTGCAAACATGTAAGGTGCGGTCAATTTTGGGATAGGCTTTTTAAACAAAAGTTACTATCTTAAGTTTTGATTAAATTTGACTCTTTGTCCTGAAACAATGTTTTGTTTGTTGAGAATAACTATTTGTCATGCCTGTACAAACTGTATGTCTGAATATGTCTTTTCACTGTGACATGTTTGTTTTGAAAAAACAATTTGTAACCCAAAAATTAATCCTGTCCCAATGTTTTGTTGCCTGTGTTTTTCCTTGAACTCTATAAAAGTGTATAATTGGCTGGAGCAAATAAATGTGTAACTGCATGTTAAGGGCTTTTATTTTTGCTTCACTGTAACCTGACCAATATTAATCCTAACTCCTGGCATTATCTGGTAACATTTGTGAGTTTTTTTTTTTCCACTTTTGTACTTCACAGTATTTGTTTAGTTTGTGTTTCAGGGCTGCATGTCAAGAACATTGCATCAGATGCATGATTACTTGTTCTTGTGTCATGTTTTCAAACCATCCATTAATCCTCCTTTAAACCTGATTTATTGTATGATTTTGTCAGGATCTATATTTTTTGGTGTTTTACTTCTCTTGTTTAAACTGTGTGCTCTCAATCAGTTTTTTGCTTGTATCCTATTATTTTCTGAATACTTTCCCATAATCTGTCGCAGCTCCTGTCCCGCCCACTCTCAACTGTTCCCAGTTGTCATTTGGCCCAGGTGTCTGTTAACCAGCCTCTGTTCAATTAGTCACTCAGTTTTCTCACCACATTCTATCTGGAATAGTATGTTTCCTATGTCCAGCTGTCCTCTTATTTCAGTTTTTTACCACATCAGCATTTTGTTTGTCTTAATAAGTGTCATGGTCTGTGTTTATTTTCCTTAGTTTTCTAGTGTTTTCAGTGTTCCCCTGTGTTTCTCAGCCCAGCTGTCCCACATCTCCTTGATTGTCACCCTTGTGTTTCTCCCCAGGTGTGTTCTGTTTAGTAATTAAAGGAAAAAAAAAATTGTATAGGTCCTCTGGAC